TTCAGTGCCCAACCACCCTCTGGGGGAAGAACCTTCCCCTGACATCCAACCTAAGCCTCCCCTGGCACAGCTCCAGCCACTGGCATTTCCTTATCATTGATGTATATCAATGATATCTGTCACCTTATATATCCTGTATGTTGAAAGTATTTTTTTAGCTCTAACAAGTGTTTAGTAGCTTTAGGTATTTAGACAGGCCAAGAATATATTCCTTTTTGGCCCTATTAAGAAAATTTATTTCAATTCAAATGTGAAGATTTTTCAGGCTGTTGAGATTTTCAGTTCATAGAGCGCATCCTGTGTTGCTTTTTATCATTCAACTGTCTTAATAAAAAAAACAACATCCCATGTGGTACAAAGTCATATGAATGACATGTATAAGCCTGTTGCAACAGGGGTGCTATTGTGCTTTATTTGATTTCTAGTCTCATTGAAAAAAATTGACAACGTGTATTTTTCAATGCCAGTGATATCCTCCTTGGAATGAGTCTTGCAATCACAGTTCCATTATTATGCTCGGGATAAACTGACATGTCATTTCCTTGGGGCATCCTATTTATTTTCGTAAAATAAAGCACACTGGTACCTTTCCTGTGCAAAGCTTTCAGAAAGCTCCAGTTTTTGGCAAATTCTAACTTTGGACTTCCTTTCGACTTTTAATTTTAATTCCCATATCTTTTTTTTCCAATTTTTCTGTTATAAAACTTCCATTTTATACATTTATTTTCTGATGTGAGAAGTGTACTTTATGAGCTGTTTTGAGCTGATGTAAATCAGACTTTCTGAGGAACTTGTTAAATGAGTCTCCCTATTGGCTCCTTTTTTTTTTTTTTTTTGGATCTACAGGCTTTGTGGAGTTGACTTTTTGAAAGCGTTAAGTTCATATATTACAGGTTTGAATTTTATTGTGTGTGCAAATAGCACTTAATCAAATCACTGGTATTTAAGCAACCATTACTCTTTAGCCTGTAATAATTTTTTTTACTTATCGAAGTTCAGCGTTGTGATAAATTAAAAACAACTTCTCCATGGGGGGAGACAAGAAACCAATGTTGTTTTTAATTCCTTAAAATCAGAAACACGAGACCTTGAGATTGTTGTTCCTTGTTGGCTGAGCTCATTGATGGTGTGATCTGTAAGAGATCATATTATCCTGGAATGGTTTGCGTTGGAAGGGACCTTGAGGATCATCTTCTTCCCACCCCCTGCCATGGGCAGGGACACCTTCCACTAGCCCAGGTTGCTCCAAGCCCCATCCAACCTGGCCTTGGACACTTCCAGGGATCCATGGGGCAGCCACAGCTTCTCTGGGCAACCTGTGCCGGGGCCTCACCACCCTCACAACCAAGAATTTCTTCCCAATGATGCCCAGCTGATAATTCATAATCTTCATAACAGATGCCAGCTGTTATCTCATCTTGCTGTTATTCCAGCATTTTATTTTGTTTGCTAAGCATTGGCCCATAAGTACTTCTGTGAGTGAGGGATGGGTTGAGGTACCAAGACGTTTTCACTGCTCTGAACGTGATTTGTTGTTATTGTTATAAAATGTCCATGATGGGGAAGGTGAAAGGGCTGTAGAGCTCCACAGCCTGTCTGACAGTCAGTGGAGAAGAAGGGATGAAAGAGGGGAATTATTCTGGTAGAAAAATCCATATTCTTGTCATCCTGTGCAGGCTGCCCTCAGTGACCACACAGTATATGTATTTTTCTATTCAATTTCAACTTGACTTTTACTGGGGCAAAAACAGAAGTGTGACTAGGACACATGAGGCAAACTTGGGAAACAGTCTTAATTTCCACTTCTCCGTGAATTGGCACTTTTGCCTTATTGTGGGGAGGAGAACAGGCTTGTAGTAAAGCATTTTTGCCTTTTTTAAGTTGCATTATTCATGCCTTAAAAGTCAAAATCAATCCCAGTGTTTTACAGACACTGCAGATGTGACTTCTGCAAAATCAAGCACCTCCTGTAGAAGGCAGAATTTGTTGATGGTGAAAGATATTTATGAGCTAAAGTTCATACAAATGCCTGTCGATGATTGCAGCTAAGTCTGTACTGAGATTTTTTAAATTAATTTGATATTTATCAGGGTGTTTTTCAGAGTTAGAGTCAGAGGCATAATAATAAGTGAATGACTTGGTGTCTAATTTTTGCACCATTTCAGGAGGCAACAGTACTTCCGTGGGAGCTCCAGTTTCATCCGTAAATCACATATCTGGCCTTATTTTTTTTCTGTTTAGCTGTAATGTTCCAGTTAAATTTGCAGTTCTATGTATTTTTATTACGAAAAATTTAGTATCAAAAATTCCTGCCTATGTGTCCCTGCCCTTCTGCTCCTCTAAGGGGTGGTCCTTTGAGAAGGATAGCGGATTTACGAAGAAAAGAATTTGTGCTGAGGTTTTTTTTAACCTGAATATCTGTGTCCTGGGCAGTGGTCCCGCAAAGAATTGTCTCAGCATGGTGTGAGGGATGTGAGCTTGTGGCAGGAATGCAGAACTTTGCAAGGGGAAGCCCCTGTGCCAAAGACAATGTGTAATAGCCCCTCACTGCTCCTTTGGAACTTGAGATCAGCCACCAAGGGCTTGCTTATGCCATAAACTCTAGTTTAGTTATAGTACCCTTAATTTAAAAAGAAAAGGTATTTAAGGAAGCAAAAATAGGATCTGAAGAAATAATCCTCTGTGCTTTTCCTTTACCCTTCTTTTTCTCAGTTCTCTACGTTTCTATCAGAGAAAATTAATTTGCTTTTTGCTATTCCAATTCCATGTGGAATACCAGTGTATGTGCATTTTCCTCTTCACATATATTGAATAAATGCACTTTCCAAAATCTTGATCCCTCTTCTTTGTTTATATTTAAATTTCCTTTTGAGCCAGAAGTGCTTTATGTATTTTGGAGAAGAATCTACGAGTTGGAAATCCTTTTTATTCCAAATTCTTCCTCTTTGTGAAATTGTCTGTATTTTCAGAAGCATTCAGACACCAGATTTAACCTGTTCTTGCTGCACCCTCCCATAAGCACCACCGGTCTGGTTTTAACTGATTATTCTGTCTCCACAGCACTAGATGGTGCTGATGACAGTATCTCTGAAATCTGAGCCTTCAAAAATTGGAAAAGTAGTGCTGCTGTTTCCAACCAAGGACAACAAGTTTGCACATCCAAATATACTGAATTGGGATAGAAAAAAACTTCAGACTTTGAATGCGATTAACAGAATATGAGAGGCGAAAAAGGTGGAAAGCCACAACTGTATCTAGTGGTAGAATTTACTGAGTTTGCTCTCAAGAGCTTGAGATTTGAGCTTGAGAAGCGTAACTAATTTGTCATGGCAGTGAGAATTGTTGGAAGAGCCTTCTCCTGAGGCTCTCGACTAACAATGTGGGGACGAGCACCGATACTCTGAGAAATCTGCGCTCTGTGAAGATCTCATCAAAAAATGATACGTTCTAAGTTTGAAAAATTCAGAGAACTACTTCAAAGTGCTGAGCATCATTTCCTGAGGCAGAAAAGCTTTCCAATTACATGCCTAAAAGCAGTGAAACTGTCCTCCAGTTCCAAGAAATAGAGGTTATCCAGAGTATAACAACAAGGGAGTTTTTTGCCACTTAGAAGTGAATTTTGTTCGTAGAGCCCCAGACTGGTTTGGGTTGGAAGGGGCCTCAAAGCTCATCTCATTCTACCCCCTGCCACGGGCAGGGACTCCTTCCACTGCCCCAGGTTGCTCCAAGCCCTGTCCAACCTGGCCTTGGACACTTCCAGGGATCCATGGGCAGCCACAGCTCCTTTGGGCAACCTGTGCCAGGCCTCCCCACCGTCACCCTTATTCGTGCTTATTGGTCATGGCAGCCTTTCCACCCTCTAAGGACACACATAGTCATCCTAGGAAAGCCTGTTAGGAGTCCTCTAATGGTCCAAAAAGAAGCCCAAGTAATGTTTTTAAACACAGAAAGTCTTAAAACATCTGAGCTATAACAAGATTAAATGGCCCCAAGTTGCACCAGGGGAAGTTCAGATTAGATATTTGGGAAAATTTCTCCGTGGGAAGGGTTGTCCTTTCACAGGCTGCCCAGGGTGGAGTCCCCATCCCTGGAGGGATTTAAAAGCCATGTGGATGTGGCACTTGGGAACATGGGTTAGTGGTGACCTTGGCAGTGCTGGGGGAATGGTTGGACTTGATGATCTTAGAAGCTCTTCTGCAACCAAAACAGCTCTAAGATTGGGATGGGGTTATCTGTGAGTTGAAAGCCATGTTTGAGGTACACAGGGCTTTAGAGAAGTATCTGACTCCTTGGAGCTGCTGAGCACTGGCTGGTGGCCTTTGCCTGCTGCTGCTGCTTCCACCATTCTCCTCATATATCAGGTTGTACCACCCTCTATGAGTGCCACTGCTGTACTTTTTTTCAAAATACAAGAAAAATATATTTATTTTTCCATATGTGTATGGACCTCTGATTTCACACATTACTTATAGCACTAAGCTAATCCTTTTTTCCTTAACTTAAGCTAAAATAAATTTGAAAATAGTATATACTAGTTAATGCAGTAACTCAGTGTCCAAACACCCAAAGCTTTTGTCATGTACTTGGATTTCTCCTGTCTAAGCAATTAGGTTACTACAATGAATAACACACGAGATGCTTGAGGATATATTGCAGTGTATTGCATGAGGTGCTGCACTTAAAATTTGCATTTTAGTGAACAAAAACTAGTTATGAACTAAAAATGCATGTATACCATTCCTTCTGTTACAGTTTGACTTTTAAGAATTTAATCATGAACATAAAATGTTCTTCACATCATTTATTGTATAGAATGTTTCTGATTCAAACTGCTGTTACTTACCAAGGTGTGAAATAAATAAATAAATTATAACTATCGTGCATTGCATTCTAAAGATCTTGTGTATATAATAGAACATTTCTTCTGACTGAATGGTCTAACTATTTCAGGACATTATTGTGAAATTATTTTGATTTTTTTAATCCTTTTTTTTTTCCAGTTTATTTTCTCTGTTGTCTAAAAAGCACAACAAAGTGCTGGAACAAGCCACACAGTCCTTAAGAGGTTCCCTGGGGTCAAGCGACTCTCCATGTCCTGATTATGTGAGTATCAAACTGAATGTTGCAGGGGGTGATTCAAAAACAAGTGGCACATTCCTAAACCTGCAAAGAATTCTCGAAGTGTGACAGCAGAGCAATCACCAACATCAAAATACAGGAACCTGTAGGAATGATGTCATGTCTGAGACGTCTTTAAAAAACCCAAGAATTACACTTAAAAATGGCAGAGCAAACCCACAGTGATTCAGAGCGAAGAAACTTGCTGTCAACTCATGATTTTCGAGCCGTTTGTAGTTCAGGATATTTAAATGACACAGTCGAAAACATTATTTTTAAGAGCGGGGCTTTGGCATCCACATTATGTTAAAATACCTAAAAATTATTGGAAACAATTCCCAGTGAGCCTTTGGGGGACTGCTGTAGTCACAGGGCAAATTGGTATGTTATGAGCACATGGATACTTACATTTCTCTTCAGTTTGCTGAGCCAATGCCCACAAATAGGCAACAATTTTGTAATTTAATTGCACGGCTTGTTGGAAAATCTCTAGTTTCAGTACAAGAAGGAGACGTCTTGCAAGGACTTGAATAATATCTTTGTACTGCTGAAGTATCTTTGGTTTGTACTCATTTGAACTCTCGCTGCAATACTGTGTGAAGAAAAAAAAGAAAGACTTGATTTATCAGTTGTTTTGGATTTTTGAGGATGAAAATGTAACAACTGTTTTATTTTCAGGGTTAATACAAGGTCCAGGACATGCCTGCTTGAGACTTTACATATCATATTACTCTAGCATTAAGTATAAAAATACCTGAAGAAATAATTTGATATAATAGTTTGATGACTTATATCTCATACAACTAACCAGGTTTCTTAACCTGCATCTTTTAGTTATCTCTGACACATACTCTACAAACTGGAGGCACTTTTTTATTCAGAGACATGTGGGTTTGTAAAGCAAATTAATCACTTGCAGGATTTTCCTGTGTATTCCTGCTGCCTTACCGTGCCCTAAGTCATGTGAAACTCCTAACAGCACCCGTGGTTTTAGGCCCTCTGATTTCCCTCCCAGAAATTGCTCTCAGACCTTTAATTTTCGGAACTTGAAACATTTCAGCAAGAACACCCTCAAATTAGTCTGTGGTTGAAGAGCAGGAGGTCCCACTCCTGTTTGCCTTGTGAGGTGATACACAGGCTGGATAAAGCTCTTTCATCTGCATGGGCATGAACAACTGAAAGCCCCCAAGACTTTGGACCCCTTGGCCTTTTTCTGTCTTTTTTCTGTGGGTTCGCTTCTGAGGAATAGGAGCCTCTTGTCAGGAAGATACTGATTTTATGAAGAAAGATCCTTACATTTTCTTCCTAAAATACCATCCCCGCTGTTCAGAGAAAAGCAAAACAGCATGATACATACATGTGTTTGTATAAGAGCACATATACATAAATATATATGTGTATGTTCATGCACACTTAGGCATGTGAAGATATATATTTATATATATATGTGCATATATTTTGGGGCTGTGTAAGAATTTGGTGCTGAAAAATATTTTGTAGGTTTTATACTCTGGAGTACAGCCAAGAGGCTCAGACACTTCACTGAATTTCTTGTCTCCTATGGTTGGTATGACGTAGGGGTAGAGGAAGGAAAGAGCAGTTGGAAAGATTGGTGCAGGAGAGAGGGAAATAAGTTCATGGCCTGTGTTTTGAAAGGATAAGGTAAACTGTTGTGGGTGGCTTTCTGGTCATTTTTTTTCCCTCTCCAATCGCTCGTGTTCCCACTCAATCTGAACCCATAGTCAGTTGAATAAATAAAAGTTTGGGCCGGATTTCATCACTTCAGCATATTCTGCTTCTGGAAGTTCGTGTTTATGTTGTCTGTAAGAATGAGGAAGATTGTAGGAACTGAGGTGGCTGAAATGTCTGAAGTCCTGAAGCCCGTTGTACCTCTGTGTTTCTGATAAAGGGATGATTCCCATATTACCTGCTCTGTACGGGTTTCTGGAGAAGAGAAATCTCTGGGGAGACCTGAGAGCCCCTTCCAGGGCCTAAAGGGGGCTCCAGGAGAGCTGGAGAGGGACTTGGGACAAGAGATGGAGGGACAGGAAAGGGGGAATGGCTTCAAACTGACAGAGAGCAGGGTTAGGTTAAATATTGGGAAGGAATTCCTGTCTGTGAGGGTGGTGAGGCCCTGGCACAGATTTCCCAGAGAAGCCGTGGCTGCCCCTGAATCCCTGGAAATGTCCAAGGCCAAGTTGGACAGGGTTTGGAGCAACCTGTTCTAGTGGAAGTTGTCCCTGTCCATGGCAGGGAGTGGAATGAGATGAGCTTTAATGTCCCTTCCACATTGTTCTTGTTGAGGTTTTTCTGGTCTTTAAAAAAGAAAAGAACAAGTTGTTTCATTTATTAAGGCTGGACCAGTTTCCTCATCCTTTCCTGATAAACTCCTGTCAGCGTGATGGGATTCAGGAGCAGGATGAAGAAGCCAGCAGGGAAGAGAGAACCACCCCCTGTCATTAAACCATTGCCTCAAAGACAGGATCCTTGGCCAGACTAATTCTCATGCTGCTTTGTTTACTCGTTGTTTCATAAGCTTTATTATTCATCGTTTTCATAGTAGCACTGACCTGTTTTGAAATACCACACTTTGATCCCGTTGTCCTTGTCTCCAGGCTTGAAGAAATGGGAAAAACCCAGTGAGGTTTATCTTTATTGCTTTCTCGCATTCCATGAAAGCACGTTTTCTAAAATTCTCAGCAAACAAGAAAACTGGTAATAAAATAATTGGGGATTTTTGCTTCTTTCAGTTCAAATCAAGACAAATTACTTAAGTAAACATATCAATGATTTTCTTGGTAATTTGATTACAGCCTAATGTAATTTATTAGATCAGAGGTACTTAGCAGCACAACTGGAGACACGCTAACTTCCCTTGGGAAGTAGCACGTCAAACGTGTTGTTGGAGCTACCATCTACCCAAGTAATTGCTTTTTAAGGATTTCATGGCATTGCTTATGATTTTTGAGCCCTTCAGTGCTTGTTATACTACAGCTGGTAACGAGAGAGTCTCCTTAACTCTTTCTGGGGAGAGAGGGGATGGAGAAGGAGGGAGTAAGTTTTGAATTTTGGCAAGCTTGTGTCAGGGGTTCAGGATTTTCTTGCTGATATAAGAAAAAAAAAAAAGAATTTGCTTAATGCAAAAAATTGAGTAAAATAAAAATCAAATATAGGAATAATTTTAGATTCAAATAGTTTGGCACACATCGTCACTTGAGTCCTGCCTTCTAAATTTTGGTTTAAAAAGAGATACATCGTTCTATCCAGATGAAGCTTAAATGTGTTAGGAAAAATTCTAAAAATAATCCCACTTAGTGCCAATATCTTCCATTATTTCATATATAGGACTATCATTTAAGCAGCACTTCGATGGTGGATGAAATTCATCGGGGGTAGAAGCAATGTATGTAATGTTAGATTTTCATATTTATAGATGTACTCCTGTCAATATATGAAAAGCCATCTTTTAATCCCCTGTCCAAAATCTGTTGGTTTTTTTGGGTTAGCTAGCATAGAAATAAATGCATGTTGGCAATCCAAAGGGAAAAATATGAAAATCTGAATGTAGTGATCTCTGTGTGTGTATATATATAAAAATATATATTTTAATATCTATTTATGTATATGAAGTCTGCAGTAGCAAAGCCTGGTGGTACTAGGAGAGTTCCCAATCAGAGCTGACTTTTCCTGACTCCTTCCCAATTCAGTTACATCTACCTGCTGTGCACAGCTGGTGCTACATGGAGGCCTGGAATTCTGCAAATGCTGATGAGTTTCTCTCTCATCTTGATAACCAGAATTAAGCTTTGCATTTGGGTGATGCGATTTCTGTGTTTTTTTTTCTTTTCCCTCTCAGTTTGTGCTCCATAATGGGCCAAATGAATTCCAATATTTAGATTCTTCTTTGATTTTTCCCTGATTTATATGGTAAATAGAAAGCAGCTGTCTGTTTAACCATCTAACTCTTGAAACTCCTAGGCCCCTCAAGCGTCATCTGGAAGTAATGTAGCTTGTAAAACAAAGCTAAGAAGAAAAAGCAATGTTTGTTTTATGTGGGATGAATGACTTCAGTTGGGGTCCCTCTAATTCGGCCATTATGAGGGTTATTAAAAAGCAGCATTACAAAAGTGGTTTCAACAAAAAAGGAATATTTTTGGGGGAAAACTTGTATCTTGTTATTACAGTTGATTATATTCGAAGCTCCAAGTACTTCATAAATAGTCCTTCGTTTTAGTTTCTACAACAGAGAACCAACATAATCTCCCCTCTGCACATCAATAGATGTTAAAAGGTTCCCTGTTTCATTTACTCCCCGGGAAGAAATTGTCTTTTATAATTAAGGGCACCCTATTTATCCTGGAAATTTGGTATTGCTAAAGAGTAGGTGAAATCAGGTCTATGAACCTGCAGTATTTGCTGCCTCTTAAATGTAATGAAACAGATCTAAAATCCATAAATATTCTAGATTCGGTTACGTGCAAAGAAGTTAATTATTTTTAGCTTATCCAGCCTTTAGCAAACAATTAATTCATTCACTATTGATGTGAACAATATTTGACCTTTAAATAAACGTTGTGGTGTTTTGGGAGTTGGAATGAGATGATATTTAAGGTCCCTTCCAATGCAAACCACCCTGGGATTCTATGAATTCTATGAATCATAGAATCATTTGGAGTGGAGAAGACCTCTAAGGTTGTTGGGTCCTATAATATCTTCTGTGCTTGCATATGTAATACTGCATTAGATATCCTGCAGCTCTATTTGATTTTTTTTTTATTGTCTAAAGAACAGTTTAGTACAGACCTCTGCCATCACACAGAGGTGTTTTCCTATAAACGTGTGCTGTCGTGAAGAAGTAGAAAGTCTTCCCTGCGATCATCTGATGACTCCAGTAATGATGCAGAAATTAAATTAAACCCACTTCCAAATAAACTGGTCAAGCATAATGGAGTTAGTGTGATGCAATTAACGTTGTTTAGCTGGTA